CCCCAAAACCCCAAAACCCCAAAACCCCAAAACCCCAAAACCCCAAAACCCCACTTACAAATTTCCCTGTTGAAATTTACATTGACATGTCAAGACTAAATCTTGACTTCTTGAATAAAAGTTATTAGTGATTCCAAGGTGTCTACAGTGATGGAAGATACATCAAACTTATGGGTGATTTTAATATCTTTAATCTCAGTTTCATATTTAGGCTTCTTCTTCTCAAGCTCTGCTATACGCTTTCCTGCCAAAGTTTTAGGCTTAGGCTTCTTTCCATCAGGGGATCTTGAGGAAGAATTGTCATGTGATTTGTCCCGTGACTTGTTGCGAGTCCCAATTTGATATCTTGACTTATACTCTTCGTCATCCTTCTCTTTAGGCTTTAGAGAACCTCCTAAGATGTCCCTTGCTTCAATAGCGATCATTATGAGCGCTTTTTCAAAGTAGTACTCATCAAGAACTAAGCCTAGCTCGTCATCAGGACCTGCAGCTTCTATTCTTTGTTTTGATAAGATCTTGAAGATATGGAGAAGGATTTCATAGTTTAAGAGGTTTGGAACTATTTTAGTTCCTTTTCCAAATTTCACAAATTCTTCTTTATCAATAGTTGTCACATTGTTTAAGAGCTTATTGTCAATAGTTTTGACATTAGCTTTGGAATAATGTCTGAACACCTTCTTCACATCAGAAGCGTATTCTTCAAACACATCAGAGGCTTGCTCATGGAAATAGTTGATCTCTTCTCTCTGTTTAAGGTCATTTTCTTTATCATATTTGTGATCTTCCAAGAATCGGACCATGTTATCCATGATTTGCTTCTTCTTGACTTCCTTTTGGTACTCAAGTTCAGATTCAAGATTAGCTAGATCTTTCCGCTCTTTGATTTTAGCATTGAAATCAGATCGGAATTTGGCTTTCTGTTTTTGAAGGAATTCTTTATTCTCTTTAAGATTTTTCTCTTTCTGGGCTTTCTTCTTTTTCTCAGTTTGCTCAGTCTGTAATTTCAGCTCTTCAAGTTCTTTCTGTTTCTGCATTTGGATCTTAGCCTTCTGGGTTTGAAGGTACCGCTTTCTTTCCTCTTCCTTTTTACGCTGCTTTTCAAGTTCAATTTTCCTCTTCTGGGCTAGAAGTTTATTAGCTTCTTCATCTCTTCTGAGTTTCTCTTGGCGTCGTTTTTCCATTTCCTTTCTAAGCTGGCTATGGTGTTTTCTAATTTTGACATCTCTTTCTTCTTTGATCCTATTTTTCTTCAATTTTTCGCTTCTCTTCTTCAAGTCTGACTCTGTTAATGATATTACCGACCCTTGTTTCGTTTCTGGGAGGGAGCCTTGAAAACCCGTTTTCAGAAGCCTGGAGGATCTCTTCTAGAACTTCAGCTACTTCATTGACATATGCACGCTCTTCAAAGGGAGCTTGAGCCACTAGCAACTTCATGTTAGTTGATAATTTAGGCTTAAGCTCTCTCTTGCGGCTTTTAGACCTCTTGCGAGCAGTCTTGTTCTGCATATCCAGAGGATTGATTTCTTCAATTTTGGGATTTTTCTTATTACGAACAGTAGAAGGCAATGGCTTTGATAATTTCTTGAAAGAAGGCTTTACCTTAGTAATCTTTTCAAACCTAGCAATTGGCTCCAGGAAATGAAACCCGAATATTTGGTCGAAGAAAGAGTCGAGAAGTTCTGTACAAACTTTTTGAGATTCTGTGATTTCGTAATATTCAGGAAGCTCATAATACAATCTCATTTCTTTCTCCTGTACTTTGTAGTAACCATCTGGAAGAGGGTAGCTTGGATTTTCAAGAATCATAAAGTTTAGTTCACGAAGAACGTCTTTATCCGTGATGAAAGTGATATCAGGGTCTTCATAGAGAAGAGTACTTTCTCCTCTGCTTTTAGCTGCATATCTAAATTTAGAAATAAGATTTCTCAAATGCTCAACAGGAGGAAGATGAGATAAATCATGAGGCTCTCTTGTGTATAATAAGTGGGCTACTTGGAGAAGAAACTGTTCAAATCCAGCATAATTTAGAGAATGTAATGATGACTTCCTCATAAGCTTTGTGCTCACAAGGCTCACTAACTTCTTCACTTCTTTCTTAGTAAGTTCTTTCTCGCTTACCCCATGCTCTTTGAGAAGTTTTTGAAGTTCTGCAATACTAATAGTCGCTGCTTTCTTCCCCATCTTGTCAAAGTTAGAGACATCTGCATTAGAGTAACCACTATTGGCATACTTATTGAACAGAAACTTCAATAGCTTTGAATACTTTTTAGCAAATAGGATAATACCTTGCTTGTCTCTGTATTCCTCTTCATCAAAGTTAAACAACTCGATATCCTTTTTAATCTTATTCTGCCATTTCTCATACCTGGCAACTTCAGGATCTCCAAGATCAAATATGATTTGCTTGAAGTCATCCATGTATTCATTGGTAGAGTGAACTCCAAGGACTAGTTTCCTCCTTTCTAGTTCGTTCTTCAGAACATATTTTTCTCGTTCTTCCTTCATGAGTCTTTGTTGGCGTTCATATTCCTTAATCTTTTCTTTCTTCCGCTTTTTCTTTCGTAATTTCTCTAGATCTTTGAATGCACGACGCTCGACTTTGTTCTTGGGAAGTTTAGCAAGAGATTTCACATGAATTTTTCTCCTTCTTTTAAGAGCCCCAATCGACATTGTGCCATCAGAGTTTACATATTTGTCACTAGTTCGCCTTTTCTTACCGAGTCTTGATGACTTCATATGGGACAGAGAAGAAAGTTTACTCTTAGTATCACTGTACAGCTTCTGGTGAGAGTGCTTACTACTGATCGGAGGGAACAAAGAACCCCTTTCAGAACTTGATGATGACTCTAAACCTCTCTCACTGCTGGAAGACGAAGGTATTTGTTGATCAAATGCTTCAAATGCCTTCACAGGCTTTGGGTTTGTGGGAAATTCTTGTCTAGGCATTGACCCATTCTGCCTCTTTTTATGCCCTGATTTTGACTGGCGAGTCTCTATCTTTCTGTGAGATGGAAGATTTTTTTTAGCTTTCGAAATTTTGTTCATTAGAGAGAAATCACTTTTACTTTCTGTCATACTCTTCTTTGGAATTACAGGGGGTTGAACAATCTTGCCATTCTCAAAAGAAAGATCAGAAGAAGACTCGTCATTTCTCATTCGATTGTTAAGACTACTCTTACTAGAAGAGGAAGAGCTCGAGTCATATCTCCTGCTTTTAATGGTTCTTTTACGTCTTGAAACTGCTTCTTCCTTGTCTTTTTGTCTCTCAGCTTTGTGTCTGGTCTCTTGTTCTCTTTTCTCAATTTTTATATCGTGCATGTATTCCTCGATGATATGTTTGGGGTTGCCAAAATTTTCAAGAATTTTCATCAAACCTTTATGGTTCTTCTTATATAGTTTGATGTTTACTCTATTGGCTTCTAGAGCTTCAAGTTTCAAGTCTTCGCTGATCCCGTAGTGTCTGAGCTCCAGTATTTTCAAAGCTATTTGGATAATGTAAGCTCGCTTTATTTTCCGACTAGCGTCTTGGATCCGATGGTCCTCTGGGGCTTTAGGGAATGGAGGTAGGGTCTTCAGAGCATGGTTGGGAACATTTTTATCGTACCGTGGGAGACCTGTCATTTCATTGTAGATATCACTCTCTTGTGCTTGTTCAGGGGGCTCCTGCTTTGCATCTTTTTCAAGTTTAGGAAGCTCTGCAAAGGCAATTTTGTGAAATTGTCTTAGAAATTGTCGAATAGGAAGTCTGTCTACAAATCTTGAAGTAATAAGTAAGAAAGGAACTTGGCAGCAGGAAGCCCATTCAGGTTCGCTAATATAAGCTTTGGCAAGTAAATCAAGTAGGAGTACTCCATGTTTTAGTTCAAGCTTTCCATGTCTTGCTAGAGAAGTGAAGAATTCAAAATCAAAAGTATTTGGTAGATAGGTATGGGAATGAGCAGCATGAAGCTGCTTCACCAAAGGTTCGATTAAGGTACCTATCGGGATTGTTGGCTGTTTCTCAATGATATATACCATATTATTTCATTGAGTATTCTCTTGTGATAAGATCCTCATGGTTACCAATTAATGAAAAGATCATTAGCTTATAAAGAACAGGAGCATATGGATTTCTTTCCACTGCAAATTGATCTAACAACCTAAATCATTGAGCAAGAGAGACTAGCTATAAAATTTAAATGATTAATTACTCTCAAAGGTCGAAATTTATCTCTGTTTCATCGTTTTAGCAAATTAAGCACAGATTTGGCTGTTTCTTCATTATCTTCAACTTGGACAGAATATATCGCCCATATTTCTGAGATGAAACCTAATTATTAAGTAATAATTCTTACTAACTGCTGCCATTCTGAGATCAGTGGGAACTGTTATTTCCTTATCAGTAGATTTAAGAGTGAAGCTTATCCAAAAGTCTAGAACTCCAGATTCAATGATTTCTTCTCTTGACTGCTTGGACTCACTCAAAGGGCCAAGGAATTCATTCATGGTATTCATGTACTCTTGGTCAGTAGGGATAGCTCTTTTCAGATAATGCGTAAATAGTTCCTAAAATATTAGATTTAAGCTTACAGTAAAATTATATCTAGCAAATTGGATAAATATTGGAATAATTGATTCCAACAAATCTTGGTGTTTATTGGCAGCTTCAAGACACACTTTGAGGCAACCATTTTTCTCATCAACAAACCAGTCCCATGCTTTTGATGATAAATCAAGATTGGAGAATTCATAGCCAGCCTTGCTCATGACTCTGCTAGCCCAGGAGGCAACATCTGTATTATGAGAAATAAGCCCTGGCTTGATAATATTCATCATCATTGGGAGAACTTTTGAGTTTCCACTTTCCTCTTCAATGAGTTGGCAAAAGTACTTAGAATTGGAGTATAATTCTTCATACCATTTGATCACCATATCAAACATGTCTTTCAGTCCTAGAGTATAATTGCTTGATTCAGATACTGGTTAGCATTTGTCAGCAATCCAGCAGCTTGCAAAGGTTCAAGATTGAAACTTTTACATAATGATATAATGATAAACTCTAGTCAATTCTCAGTCTGCATTAACTCCTTGTCGACATCTAAGTTTTGAATGTCAACTCCGTCAGATGGCTTAGGTCCCTTATTTGTTTATCTTTGTTGGTTCCTATAAAGATAATAAAAATTATTACATCAGCCATATGAAGTTCATGGTGAAAAACTTGGGTCAAAACTTCATTGATGAACTCTAAATCCCCTGCTATTATCAAACTCTTAGTGTCTTGATCTACTTCGATACCGAGGTTCTACAGATTATTGAACAAGATACCTCAAGTTCTTTGATAAGAATTTTCCAGTTATAAAATTTTGATGAAGCACCTAAGAAAGGTCATATGAAGAATTTACTCATTCCTGACTTCATTGTTGCAATATTCTCTTCGTTTACTTCAGGCTCTCTCTTTATAAATTCTCCTAGAAAGAGGCGTTAAGCTGTAGTTTGAAATCTTCAGAATTAGTTATCACAAGGGAAAATTCGTAACTCTTCATGAAGACGATAAGTTCCAGACTTTTAGATACTTACCATTACTTTATTGATAACAAGGAGATACCGACCGATGGCCACTCCGTTTTCAAAGAAAGAGGTAGACTGTTTATCAAGGACCACCTTCTTAGTGTCATGGAAGACCTTATTACTCATTGTTGATTCAAGGATTCTATATAAATCTTTTAGAATGCCATTCCCCAACTGTATAGGTTGATCCTCGCAAAGGGTACATAAGGTTATAGGTAAGCACTTACCCATAGTTGCACAACCGTGTATACACTTCTAACTCAATTTCCATTGCTGCTGACTTTGTTCAATTTTTATATTATTTATTGGGGTTTTGGGGTTTTGGGGTTTTGGGG